CCCCAGAATAAGGATTTTAGCATTTCGAGGTCTATATTGGGGTTCCCCTGCTTATGGAAATGAATCGGGTGTGTCATAAGATTAGGACTACCTTTCTGGGGTCCCCATAATAAGGATTTTAGCGTTTCGAGGTCTATATGGGGTTCCCCTATTTATGGACATTAATCGGGGGTGTCATAAGATTAGGAGTACCTTTCTGGGGTCCCCAGAATAAGGATTTTAGCGTTTCGAGGTCTATACTATTTATGGAAATGAATCCGGGGTGTCATAAGATTAGGAGTACCTTTCTGGGGTCCCCATAATAAGGATTTTAGCATTTCGAGGTCTATAATGGGGTTCCCCTATTTATGGAACTTCCCAATTAAGTTCCAATGAGGCCAGCTATGCGTGGGTTCCGCAGCTTTTGCCCAGGAAAGCCACTGCAGAGAAGTGGGAGAGGCGCGATCCTTGGGTCTATTCGGGGCGGGGCTTGAAAAGTCAGGTTTAGGGTTTAGTAGGGTTTTGGGAGTCTTCTTTTGTCCAAGGCATCTTCCTTTTCCCATGCGGGGATGCATTCGATTCCTTCTCTGCGCCGCGTTGTCAGTTTCAAGCAGCTTGTTGAGCAAGATGCGGAGTGAACCAACTCCTCAGCAATGCTGATGGTTGTAAGCATAAGTTGGCTGTGCCATAATATCATTCGCTGCAAAACACGGGGCACCTGTTGATGCTCTTGGGTAGCTATGGAGGCTGTGCCAGCTCTTGGGCCTTCATAGTATCAATTTCACCGACAAAGAGTCTTTTATCTGTGCTCGGAGCTTGGGGTAAATACCTACCGTGGTACCGGCTATGCTCTTGCGTCCACGGCACTTTGTAAAGACAAGTTTTCAGAACCAATACAAGTTATGCATCAGAGGAACTTGCCTTGAATGAAGGTGGCCATCCGGAATCAGGTGCTGTTAAGCAACCGTCCAGTTGACAGCCAAGATTTATGTTTTAGCATCCGCAGGAGCAGTTATTGGTGGCTCGAACAAACACTCCGGAGGAGTTGTGATTTTCCCGTTTCACGCAAACACACACGACATGGCTACAAGCAAGCCTTTGTTGGGCGAGAGCAAGACGCTTGCTTGCAGGTAGGAAGGTTTCAAGCAACGGTTACGGCGTAGTCGTCTACAGAATACCCAAACCTTTGCGAGATCTTTGATGGTGTTTGACGTCAGGACATACATGCCTGAAGCTTGAAGGGGCACAGTGTAGACAGCATGTTTCGTCTTGATAATGGAAGGCTCGTCAGGTAGAGAACATCTGGTGCAGGAACGCTTTACTTGCTCGTTCAACTTTGGACATGTTATCCCCCTCACCATACAGACTTTCTTTGAAGTCCAGCCAGAAGTTACCAATGCACCGATCTGTGCTAGTTGCCTACCGTTGCTTGCAAGCCTGTGTTTCAGACGCTGCTCGCTCCAACAAACCCGTTTCGAGGCTTGACCCATTGCTCAGCTCGGCCAGACTGAGGAAGGGCCACACCAAGGCATCCATCTTTTACGGTGCGGATGAGTACCTGGAGGAGCTCCTCGTCACCTTTTCATATGGCATGTGCTAGTAGTGTGTGACGATGGTTGTGTTGCTGTTGGGGGTGCTTGTGTCGAAACATCCTAGTTCTATTCGGACGCCTGAAAGGCTTTTGCTTGCCCATGGATCGATTGGAGATTGGACTCGTGTTTCGGGAGTCGTTTGATGTGGACCACAAATTTCGGGTAGGCATTGGTCCTCACACTGTCAGGCACATCCTGAAGAGAAAGCACTGAGCCCTGTCTGAAACCCTAACCCTAAGGGTCCAAGTACCTTATAATCATATACCTACAAAAATCTGTACTATAATTACTATTACCCAAAACCCAAGTACCTAATTATTGGGTACATGGACCCTTTGGGTAAGACTTAATTAAGGCTCAAGAAGAAATACGAACGAGATCACGAGATTGCCGCTCTCAAGAATGCCTTGCCAGGCACGCACGCCGCTCTTTTCTTTTTTGAAGTTCTGCAAACTGAGGATATGTTTGAGGGATCCTTTTAACAAGAGCCGCTGTATGTGTGGGGTACATAAGTAAGACCCTGCCCAGGGGAAATGCCTGTTCCAAGCAATCGTTCAGGCCAAAGATTTTGGTGGCGATGGCCATCCTACCAATTATTTGGGAACGCCTATAGTAGTGTCCATTTTATTTTCCATTATCCCAATATACCCCAATATTACCCCTTGGGAATTACTACCATTGAGCTTTTTCTTAAGCATCTGATTGAGCCTATTATAGCAATTTCCATTTTATTTTCTATTATTTCTGCTGTTAATATTTCTGTTATTCCTATTATAGTTGATATTAATTGCCCCTTGCTGAATCAGCAGTCCGATCCGTTCACGGCTGGCAGGGTGTCCGCACTGGACCGATCCGTGGGGATTCTCCCGTTCTGGTTGTACTTGGGGCTTAGCAGGGAAGAAAGGAAAACAATCCCTACAAGGTCCCTATGTAATGTATTCCCTTATGCCCTAGTAAGTAGTTTCACAATCTTTGCGGAATGTGTCGCAGTGTTATTTCCTGTTATGGTGCAGATCCGCAAAAGGATCCAAGACATGATTCTTCCAGTGACTCTTGAGGCCCCTAATTATAGTAGCCCTGCAGTCGCCTAAACTCACTTAGGGCCTCACGGTGAGGTGGCCCTCGCCCAACTACCACAAGACCTTAGTACATGGGAATGTACTTGTTTTAGGGGTTAGATAGGGATTATACTCCCTTATTCCCCACGAAGAACCCAGAAGAAGATCCATGATTACTTAAATGCTCTGTCCGGAGGCGAGGCTGACCCTAATGCTGCAGCAGTGGGCCAGAGCAAGGACCGAAACCTGCAAGGGTGGATCGCGCTAAGCGATTTTCTTGTTGGGGGGTTAGTAGGCAAAAAGGTAGGGTTTAGGGTTGAAGGATAGTAGGGAATGAGGGAGTGTACGTTCTGAGAATTATATAGGCATTATATTCCGTTGTTCCCTACTACATCCTGGTAAGTCTAGTACAGAGTGGGACGATGCCCCATATAGGTTCCCCCGGCGGAACTCCCGGCGAGAATCAGGGGGCTCAGTCAGGCTCTGACCATCAAATTGGGCGGATCATGTAAGACATTCGGTCATTCCCCCTTAAAGTAACTTTCCTGAAAGGGTTTTTTGGTGGGGCTACTACAGCTCCTATGACCCATTGTAGTTACAGTTACTTCGAGGGGGAATTGCCAAGTAAGACATTAGAAGGACCACGGGACATGCGGCAGAGGGTGTCGGTTGCAAGAAGCAGTTGAAATATATCATAAACTTCTGGCTTCTCGTTGCAGGACAAGATGTTAGCAGTGGAGAAGAACAATGAGAACAGGACCATTGCCCCGGCGCAAGATTTCAACGCTTTGGATGTACCGGATCCAGTGGTGACATTAGCAGACACTAAAACCTCCACAGCTCCAGGGACATCATGCAGTGATCCCTCCATGGGGGCTGTGTCCCTATCCCTCTTCCCCGAACTCCTGCCCTATCCCTCTTCCCCGAACTCCTGCAAGGTTTGGTGTTTTTACGGGCGCTTTAGTGGCAGGAGCTTGAAGACCAACCGTCTCTTTCCGACCCCGAACAAGCCGGATCCCATGCCACAGAATTTGGCCTTCTTGTTCACAAAGATCACTCCAGAGCAGATGATCTACATGCCGATCGGGCTTTGCAGTCAGTGTTTGCTTTACTCCTGTGTTAAGTTGCAGATGTGGAAGATTTTGACATTAAGAGAAATGCTGCTGAGTTAGCATTTCTCTGCAGCCAAAGCTGTAGGTGGAACGTGCTTACAGCGATCTTTGCGTCGCAAGTTCTCATGGTGATTGCTTACTGCGGGGCTCTTGCGTCCTTCCCGGACTACTGGTGGACTTGCACGCTGTGCTTCGGCCTGCCTTTCTCGTACATTGCCATTCAGAAGTACCTTTGTGGCATTAAATTGTGAGTGATGCGTAGGATATCTTAAGGATAATGGACATTTGTTGGTGGTCTGGAATCAGCAGTCTCTGTTCGGAAAGGATGCATTCGTTTTAGGTTTGTGCTTACCCAGACCCCCCAAAGGATCCAAAAATTGAGCCCCTTCATAATCCCCTAGATTCCCCAATGTAGTAATGGAGTCATTTTTTTGGGGGGGGTCCATTTTTTGGATCCTTCAGGGGGTCTGGGTAGCTGTGTTGTTGCTATGCCATGATGCTTGACTCCCTTGACTTTCAGCATCTACATCGACCACGATGTGATGCACGGGGCCACATTCCCTGTCTACGAGTGGCAGCGCTTCCTCACTCACCCGTTTCTAGGTGGCACTTGGGGGATTGTCAAAATTATGGTCCCTTTTGGGATCCCGATTATAATCCGGCACCTAATATTTAGGGTACCCAAAAAGGGACCATAATTTTGACAACCACCCACTTTCTGCAACATCAGCACTGTAGCGCTTTTGCGGCTCCTCTTTTTTATGCTGCAGTGGCAGGGCTCTGAAGAACGACCAAGGTTTGCAGACTTTTTCAGCCTACTGGGTGGCAATGTGGGATGGCTTTGAATTTGTTTTGTTGTATGAGGAGACCTATATGAGCCATAATCTAAACTCCTTCAAGGGGGTTATATAGGGATTATACAGGGGAATATTATAGGGGTTATTAAGGGGGATACTAGGAGTTTAGACTACAGCTTATATACATAAATAGCTAGTTCAAAAACACGCAGACACACAGAGGCCTCCCATGGGAAGAGTTCGTCCTGGAGCACAACAGGCCGGGTAGTGGGTCAGGATTGGTGACAGTCAGGCTGCTGCTTTAGTTTTTCTAAACATGCACCCTGCAGCATCGATTCAGGCATCATGCGTCCACTGTCGACTTGCTGATCCAGGGTGAGTTCGGCTGGGATCCCGAGGAGTTCCATTACGCCCTGCAGCAGTGGGCTGGGCCGTGGGGCGCCAACTGGTACAAGTACCTCTTGACCGTGCCGTTCATCCCAGGCAGCATGCTCAGGACAAGATTCTCTTGAATC